CAGTCCCTAGCGGCGCCGGCTGTAGCTCCCATCACAGTGGGACGGGTGAGGTGGCGGTAGCGCGACTCAGTAGTGAAAAGAACTGTCTACAGATGGCACTGTGCCCGGTTTACCTGCGCCGTACCGTTTACCCGCTAGGGGCGTTTAAAGTCGCAGGGGACAATCACTGTACCCCGGACAATCACTGTATCCTCTACCCTATGTAGGCTACAGCACACAGCTGGTCAGCAAAGCGGCACTTTTTATTTTTCTGGTGGGAACTTTTAGGTGCCTTGGCGGAAGTAAACCTCAAAACTAAAGGTTTAGTCAACCCATGGTCCGCCAATTTTATATTTATAAAGAAATTTTGATGCCTTGCGAGGCTTACTAGTGCACGCGAATGTTCTTTTTTTGTGTTATTCTTGTTGTTGTTATTGCGATCGATATCGTTAACGTGTTGCACACTTTTCTCTTTTGCAGAGCATCCTGAAAGGGGGCTCGCGGACGCGCGTGGGTAAGGCGCACAGGGTGTACTTCCCCGCGGAGGAGAGCGAGGTGATCGGCGAGGGCGGCGAGGACGCGGGGCCGCCGTCGGACGACGACAGCGATGACCAGGCCGACGGCGACTGGGGGCCGACCCCCGTGGAGGACGATCCGCAGGAGCGGGAGGAGGAGCGGGTAAGTCTGCCCCCCCCCAAAAAAAAAAAGAAAGCGCAGTGATTTTAAAATAGAATTGGATTTTTTTGTTCGGGGTTATGAAGTGTAGGGGTGATGGGTGACGTAACGCCGGAGGAGACGAGCAGACGAAGCCCATGCAGAACGTGACTGCAAATAGAACCATTCATTCGCCCGGCGCCTGGCATTGCTGAGCGTTCAGCGCAAAGCTGTATTGGGTCACAAGTCATTTCAGGTGCTATTGCTGCATGCAGACAAAACATGGACGGGCGGACAGATAGACAGATAGGCAAATAGTAGACGGGCCAAGCGAAGTAGTCATCTTGCTGACCTCGGCTGCGAAGAGGTGATTCAGAGTTCAACAGCTCTCCGCCCCCCCCCCTCCTCGATTCTAAATCGTGACACCGTGTCGATGTTGCAGCTGCTTCAGGCGCTCACGCGCTCCAACACCGACTTCAACTCGGTGGCTGCCAACCTGGAGGGCACCGCACCGCCCGCGCCGTCCGCCGCCAGCAAGGGCGCCAAGCAGAAGAGCACCGCGCCGCTGCAGCTGGGCCGCACGCAGACGGACTCGTCCGGGCGCAAGCAGACCCTGCTGGTCACCGTGCAGCCCTTCGGCAAGCCGACCGGCAAGTCGATGACGGCGCCCTCGGGCGCGACCACGACCTCGGCCTCTACCGGCGACCACGTGACCAAGATCCCAGTGGCCACGCCACCCTCGACCGCGTCGACCAACGGAGACGTCGTGCTCAAGTCGATCGTTCACACCGGTGACGACCTACCCCCGATCAAGTCCCCACCCCCACCCAAGTCCCCTGCCAAGTCAACGACCAGTAATGTGCCATCAACTCCTGAACCTGCGCCCGTCGCCGTGGGAGTCCCATCGCCCACCTTGCTCAAACTGAATGATGCTCAAGAGACGTCGGGCAAGACCACGACGTCGGCCTCCCCGACGCCCCTTAGCTCGAAACACATGTTCCTAAAGTCCATTGTGGAGTCCGCGGCGGACACGGTCTCCAGCGGCGGCGACCCGGTGACCACCGTGAGTTCCGCGACCACCGCGGCCACCACCGCGCCGCCAGTTACCACTGCGCCGACCAAGGCCGGCAGTCCGCCCAGAACGGTCACCAGTCCCTCCAAACCGGCCGCCGCTTCAGTCAAGGCGGCCGTCAGCACGGTCAAGGCAGCCGTCAGCTCGTCGGCGACCACGGTCACCTCACCATCGGCGACCACGGTCACCTCACCATCGGCGACCCCGGCCGTCACCAACAACACGGCGAGGAGGGAGGGCAAGCGGACACACATCACGAGGGGCACTCCGATCTCCAAGAACAACGAGCTCATGCTCAAGACCAAGCTCATCCCCCTGCGCACCGCCACCATCCTGAACAACAACAATATCAACAAGAGGAGCACGTACGGACAGAGGGAGGAGGAGACGTCCATGGTGAAGATTAACGGGTCGAGGAATGAACCCGTGATGCTCATCGAGTCCAAGCAGCTGGACTCGTCGGACGAGGACGAGCGCATGTACAGCAACGTGCAGGTGCAGAGCAAGCGTCTGGACGGAGAGGAGTCCCCCGGCGCGCAGACCAAGAGGCTGGCCGGCCTGCTCGCCCCGCTCGGGGTCGGGGGCGTCGCGGTGGGCTCTCGCGAACTGGCCGGGGAGCCGGACGGCCGCGCCGACCCGGACTCGTCCTCCGAGTCTGGTAGCGAGCCTCCCGCGCTCCCCCAGAGCCCTCCGCCCGCCGTGGACCCGCGCCCGTCCTTCCTCCACGGCCTGACCGCCCGCCTCACCCCCAGCTCGCCCTGCAGCTCGCCTTGCCTGCCCTTGGCCGACAAGCCCCGCGTTCCCTTCAAGTCGAGTACCGTGGTACAGGCCGCGGTGCAACAGCAGCAGCAGCAACAGCAGCAGCAGCAGCAACAGCAGCAGCAACAGCAGCAGCAACAGCAGCAGCAGCAGCAACAGCACCTGCAGAAGGCGGTGGTCCTCGCGGAGCCCCCGCTGGCCCCGAGCTGCAGCCCTCCCAGCTCGGCGGAGTGCTCGCCGTCGTCCTCGCCGTCGTCCTCGCCGCACGGGACACCCCTGGCCGGCCTCGACAGCTGCAGCCGCCAGCAGAAGCGCCAGGCTCCGCAGCCGCCACAGGAGCAGCTCTACGCCACACCCCCGCCGACCAGGGAGGCTGCCACGCCCATGCGCCCCGCACTGGGCCGCTCGGCCTCCACGGGTTCCTCCACCTCGTCGCCACCACCCACGCCGTCACCGTCGGCCTCCCCGCCCTCCCCTGTGCTGTCCTACCACCGCAAGACCTCGACGACCTCCACCAAGGATAGCAAGCGGCGTAGTAGCCAGCACCTGTTCTCGATGGCGCCGCTACCGCCGCTCGCGCCGTCGCGGTCCGAGTCCGTGCCGTCCGGCCTGGGGCAGGTCGCGCTCGGCCACTCGGTCACCCTGGGCGCGCACTCGGGCCACTCCATCGCCCAGGCGCTGGCGCAGGCCAACTCGTTCGTGTCCATGTCGCCCAGCCCCAGCACCCCCGGACAGCCGCAGCCCTCGCCGCGACGGGCGCTGTCCCTGTCCACGGACTCTCTGAGCGGCGGCTCGCCCACCAAGCACGGTAAGGCCTTTGCCACACTGAGAGTAAAAGTGGTCCCGTTATCCTAGGAATGCTACTCATCGAATCGTCAACTTATATTTGGGGACAACACTGTCCTATCGTATTTATCGTGTCATTGTCATGTCCCTGTCTGTCACAGTCATGTCATACGACACCGAGCGCAAGAAGCCCGGCACCAAGGTGCGCTTCTCGCTGCGCAAGTTCTTGGGGCTGTCCAAGGAGGGCATGCGCTCCGAGATGGCGGGCCCCGAGGGCCAGGGTCCCCTGACGCCCGGGCTGTCGGAGCCCCCCGCGCCGCCGCAGCCCCGGCCGCGGCCGCGCCTGGAGATCATCCACCCCTCCGACCTGAGCGGGCGCGCGGTGGAGGTGCTTCGCGCGTCGGGCGTCGAGGTGCGCCGACAGATGCAGGAGCAGGCCGCCCAGCAGGCTCAGCAGGCTCAGCAGGCGCAGCAGGCCTCCACGCGGAGGAACTCGGACTCGACGGCCCTCGGCGACGTCCCCGCCTCCCCAGTGGCCACCAGCGGGCTCTACGCCTCACCGGACAACAGCATCCACGACGTGGTGAAAGGTGAGGAACCACGACGAACAGTGACCATGGCGATACTTTGAAAATCGGCAATGTCGCTTTTCTCTCCCCTCATACGTCGAATGAGTCCATGACCCTGGCCTCTCCCCACAGCCCGGCCGTCCAAGCCGCCCCCGCCGCCGCGGTCGCAGTCACTGGAGAACGACCTGGCCCACGGCGCGCACGCAGCGCACGGCAGCCCGTCCAGGCCGAGCAGGCCGCCGCCGCCCAAGGCGGCCCACGTGGACCTGATGATGCGCAGGCACTCCTCCACCACGGCCTCGCCAACCCCCGCCCCGGCGCAGGGCCACTCCGTGTACGCCAACATAGGTGAGCTCTCCTCGGCTCTCGCCTACTGTTGGGGACGACGCAGAGGGTGCGCGAGGAAACAAGTCGCCATGTCGAATCAAATGCCATGTTATCTGCAGCGTGTGGCGCGGCGGAGGTTCGCACTGCGCCGCTCAAGCCTCAGCGGTCGGGCAGCGTGCGCGACTCCAACGCGGAGGGCCCGCGCCGGACACCCCTCGAGGTCACGGCCGCGCCCGGCACGGCCGAGAGCGCGTCGAGGGAGGCGCAGCCTGCGCAGCCCACCAAGGTGCCGGCGCGGACGTGCAGCCTCTCCTCGCAGCCGGAAGACAGCGGGTACGAGTCCGTCGAGCTCAGCGACTCCACGCAGCCCCAGTCCATGGTGAGTTCTGTTCAACTTGCGGAAACTCAATGTCGGAATCTTTGCAACGTGTTTCACGCTCTTCCCCTCTCCCTCCAGACGGACAGCGAGAACGTTTACGAGTGCGTCAACGGCGCGCCCGAGCGGTCGAGCTCCCCGGAGTGCGACTCAAAGCGAGCGGGCGTCGGCGGGGGTGGCGCTGCTGGGGGGGCGGCAAGCGGCGGGGACCGGCCGTCATCTGTGTCCGCTCAGTACTGCGGCAGCGAGACGGAGTCGGACATCTACTCGCCGTACAGCTTCTACGGCAGCGAGGAGGTACGACCCGACTAGATTTGAATCAGGCTAAGGCCTCCCCACGGATTGTCGCTTTAATGGTGTCCCTTTCCAGGGCGACGACGGCGAGGCCGACTCATCGTGGAAGTGGCGAAGCCGGGCGCGGAAGGGTCGCAGCGTTGTTCACAAGAGCATGGAGGAGAACTACGGCGCCGTGGTGAGCGCCAACCTGGAGGCGCTGGCGCAGCTGCTGGAACAGATCCGCACGGGCCCCGCGGTGCCGGCGGCGCTGCGCCCGCTCAAGACGACGTCCCACCTGGGCTGGGCGGACTTCACCGTGGACGCGCCCCAGGTGGGCGTGGCCGTGGGGCGCTGGGTGTTCCTGGCCGCGCAGTGGGGCTGCCACGCCGTGACCCTGGGCGTGCTGCCCAACGCTCCTGAGGATGGCACTCTCCGCCGGGGCCGGGGGACGTGTCCCCTCCCCTTCGCGCTGATGCCCATCGCCGAGTTCTCCGACCAAGTGCCCGCCGCCTGCATGGCCTCGTTGCCCGGGGCCCAGCGCCTGGCTGGCAGCCACGTGCCTGGTGAGTACTGCAGCGCTTGCAGCGCGTCGCCGTGACCCGGCTCGCCCGTCAGCGATGACTAATCTCCTGCTGTTCGTCCCCAGCTCTGGTGGGCGTGCTGGCGCGCGCGCGCGTCGACACCCTCGCGTCGTACGGGTCGTGGCTGCGCGGGGTCCCCCTCCGAGACGCGGACGGCGAGGCGGCTTGGCGTGACGCGGGGCTGGCCCTGCTCCAGCTGCTCAACGCCCTGCTCGTCCTGCAGAACCTGCGCGAGGCCGCCGACCCCGACAGCGTGGTTCTGCTCAGGGGCGAGGCCAGCGTGAGCGCCCAGACCCTGGACGGCACGCCACAGCTGTCGCTGCTGCACGGCATGACCCCGGCCGCCTCCACGGTAGGTCTGAGTCTGAGGGTCCAAGCTCCTGACGCGTTGGCGGGTAGGCAGCCCTGTTAAACTCGCCTGCGCTGCGGGTCGGCCTACCCTGCGCGGCGTTCTTTCCAGCGTTCCCCTCAATAACTGACACTCTTCTCCAGGACGCCGCCGTGTCGCGGTCGCTGTGCCAGTGCGCCTTGGCTGGCGCCCGCGCCCTGCTACCCGACGCGCCGCCCGCCCCGCTGCTCACCACCCTCCTGTCCGAGGCCGAGTCCAGCGCCGGCGCTGAGTCGAGCAGCGCCCTGTCCCGCGCCAAGGCTGTGCTGGAGTACTGGCTGTGGGGCCCGTCAGAGGCCGTGCCGTCCATGGCCGCCCTGCAGAGGTGGCTGGACTTGGAGAGGGCCACGGTCCTGCACAGGCTGGTGTGCGCCCGCGCGGCCGCGGGGCCCAGCCACCGCCTGGCCATTCAACAGCAGAGCCACCTCCTCTTCCTCGTCCACACCAGCGCGAGCGCCATGGCCGACGCGTCCCGCCTCCTGGACACGGCCGGCATCGCACCGCTCGAGAGCGCGTCGTGATGAGGCTCTTGCCGTTGAGAAACACCCAGCACCTCAGGTTTTGTTCTCGTTGCCATATGGTTTTTACGGTGTCAAACTGCATGTGTCGTTTGCCCACATGGTTTGTTTTATTTTAAATTATTTGATCTTTACTGTGATTATTTTAATGCAATGATTTTTCTTGTTGAGCTCTCAAAATTGTGTTATTTTATAAATGTTTACGTAGTTTGAAAAATAGTGTGCTATGCGTTCTTTTATATTTGGTAGTTGCTGAGTCTGTGGCACGGATACTATCCAGGCAGTGAGATGTGTTCAGCTTCAGAGTACATTCCAGATTCATGACATTCTGGTCCCTGCCCAGTCCAGTGCCGGTATTTTATTTTTAAAAAGTACTA